GGTGCCAAGAATGTTGACTATGGAGCCAAGCAAACTAAAGCTGTGTACAATCTCAATCTCTTCACCATCCATCCTGATGCTGCCGATTGGTCCAGGGCGTGAGAATCTTTGTCTTCTTGACATTGAGCCTCAATGCATATTGGAGACTGCAGTCCTTGACCCTCTGCAGCAAACATTTCAGGTCCTCCTCAGTTTCAGCAAGCAGGGTTGTGTCATCTGCATATCACAGATTGTTGATTGATCTTCCACCAATCTTGATCCGACATTTCTCCTCATAGAGCCCAGCCTCCTGGATAATCTGTTCTACATACAGGTACCTTAGGATAACCAAGATTCAAGATCAGAAGGGCAGGAAGAAATTTCAGAAGGCATAGATAGGATAGGATGAATAGAAATGCGAATAAAAGGTAGTAGAAGAAAGAGGGCTGTAACCATGTAAGATCAAAATGAAATGCCACAAAACAAAATCTGTGTGAACAATTAAATGGAAAACCCATTGCTCTATAAATTTTCACTCAGAATACAATTTTAAAAATGGTTATTTTTTAAAAATAAATTTGGTATAATAATACAATGAAGGTATATCTTTGAATGTCCTAATCATAGCTGTTTTTGAAGTGGAAATTATGATATTGTGATTGTTCCTCATTATTAGTTAATGAAAATGTTGTTTAATGTCTTCATTACCTATTGCTGCTATAACCAACATACCACAGGTACATGGCTTAAAGAAATAAAAGTTTATCTTCTCACATGTGAAATAGAAATCTGAATTCAAGGGGTCTGCACTGGGTTTACTGATCAGGTTTAGTGGTTTCTTGGAAATCTCCATGTGGCTCAGCATTAGTGTTTTCCCCATTTCTTTCTGTCAGCTCGCTTGCTTAATCTCTCTCTCTCTCTTTTTTTAATCTCTTTTCTTTATCTCAAAAGAAATTCCTTCTTTCTAGTCTGGTCCTGGCTCTGTAGCCCTAACAAAGAAGGGTGGTGAGAATAAGGGCCATTCTGCCATCACCGAAGTGGTAATCAGACAGTACACAATCAACATTCACAAGCGCATCCATGGCATAGGCTTTAAGAAGCACCCCTCAGGCACTCAAGGAGATCCAAAAATTTGCTGTGAAGGAGATGGGAACACCTGTTGTTCACATTTACACCAGACTTAACAAAGCTGGCTGGACCAAAGGAATAAGGAATGTCCCATACCACATCCATGTACTGTTGTCCAGAAAATACAATGATGAAGATTCCTCAAGCTGTATACACTGGTTACCTTTATACCTGTCAGCACTTTCAAAAATCTACAGACTGTCTGTGTGGATGAAAACTAATAACTGATCAAATAAAGTTAGAAAACTGTTAAAAAAAATCTTCCAAGAAATGCCCTACACTAACCCTGTCTCTTTTATCAGAGTAATTATATGGGATTATAACCACAGATGAATATATTAGAAATTACAATGCATATTTTCATGAAACACCATTCAATCCATAATAGTTAATTAGAATTCTCCTTCCCCCAAGTGTTTATTACTAAGCTGTAACATTGCAGAACTAAAAAACAGAAGCGGAGATGCAGCTGTATCTCATATTCAAGAAACTCTGTGAACATTTTGGTCATCTGAAAAAACCATGAGAAGATAATTCTCCCCAAAGACTATATAAGAAAGTCATAGAGAAGACTCTGTCTTTTAGAATTATCATTGGGATCATTACTTCCCATTTCATATTTTCAGAGAATACTTTCTAAATAATGATGTTTTTGAATCAGAGAATGTCTTCACATGTAGAGTAGTTTTAGATTATATATTAAATGATAACTCCTCTCAGAGAAGACTGCAGTCTGTTATATTATGATGATTTCTCACCTCCTCCAACTTTAAAATGTCATGAAATTAGGGGCATCAGGTTTGGGGTTCAAGAAACACGACCTTATTTGTCTGTAACCTGGTGGATAAGGCTCTAATGATGGTAAACACAGCTGTGACTTACTCAAAGCTTCAGTTGGCCCCATGTTGGCACTATGCGAAGGTGGAGCTGGTTCCTCCAACCACTGCTGAGATCCCTACAGCTGTTCAGAGCCTGAAAAAAATAGTCAGTAGTGCTCAAACTGCATGCTTAAGGAAGCTCTGCAGGATAATTTGGTAGCCACTGAAGGTTAGAGTGGTTTATATCGGCAAGAGTATAGACAAGCATGGTATCATTAGCTATGAAGTTTGAACACATCTGATTATACTTCATTTACTATTTGTGTAATTCTTGGACTGTGTGTGATGAGATTGGTCTCTATAAAATAGATAATATGTGAAATTTTTTAAAAATGTCATGAAACAGATAAAACTCTGGTTGTTGGGTTTGTTTGGTTTTTTATTTACTGTTTTGTGTATGTAATTTTATTTCATTTCAGGAGCTGCCTGCCAATAGTGTACTTCTGATTTACCTGTCAGCCACTGGCGTTTTCCCCACAGGTCGTTGTGATAGTGAAGGTACAATAAAGGAATGCTCCCTGTTGTAAGCAGGGCTTGAATTCTCTTTATTTTCTACAAGACAATAGCCTAGACCATCTCAAGATTTCAAGAGAAACTTCCAATTTTTAAACCTAGCCTCTTTGTTGAATTGGTGATCGTGTAGTACCTCAGTCTATTCTGTTTGCTTAAACAGTATATGCTGAAATCTATGAACCATCAGATTTAATATAGTCTTGCATGCCTCAGTTTAAATTTTCCAAGAGCCTATTAATGTAAGAAATTTACGTTTTGATGTTGTAAAGAGTGGTGAAAAATGAACCCTGAGTATCTACTTTACGTCTTTGAATTTTTCTGAGCGTTTAGTGAGTTAGGGAATTTGGTCAGTGTCTGCAGTGTGGCTGAATGTCTTTGTAGAAATCAGTGCCCTTTATATTGTGCAAGTTCAAGTCTTTGTCATGACTTTGTTGGTTTTATCTTTATTTTGTTTTTATGGATTTCAACCTGTGAAATATTGGGATGCGGTTTCAGAATGAAAATTTTAAAACTATCCAGAATATATGAGTCTGGATTTGCTTAGAATGAGAATAATTTGTACATAAATAAGACAATGAAACCTTTGGGGAAAAAATAACATTCTTAACATTTTCCTCCTCATCTGTTTGTTGAAATTTGCATTCCTTTATACAGTGCATGTCCCTGTCATCTTCCTTGCATGACCAGCAGATCCTTTGAACAATATTAAAATGAAAACAAAACAAAAATCTGTACAGTCTTTTCATTGTCATGCTTCCTTTTAGGGAAAAAATATGAAATTATTCCATGATACAAAATATTAAACTACTTGAGTGTTTTTGGTAATAAAGTTAATAATTTTGCTTTTCCATTTAGAGAAAAGTTCATCTAAATTATATGTCCATTGGGTTGAAGTTTACTTCAAAACCAGAATCTTAATATTTAATATAATAATGATGATAATGGATATTTTACGCATTAAACTGTGCCAATACTTTTGTTAAAAATTAAGTTCTTGCTGATTAAAATTTTCAGATATTATTAAATAGAGCATGTACACACTGTTGAATTGGTCTATGTCTTGCTGTGCATTTTCTCAACAACAGAATGTAAGTTTTTAAAACAAGTCACTCAGTAATACATCATTCTTTAGATTTATTGAAATAATTTTGTTAAAATGGAAATTGTCCTTTTGCTTGAAATATAAAAATTATATTAAATATCACAGGTTTTCTGTCCCAGATTGGTTGGCTGTAGTGGATTCTTGTTTTGTTTTTTATTATGTTTGATGGAGTAATTAAATGATTTTTTTAGATGTTGAGGTTGGCAACATATTGAAATCATTTAAATGCTATATTAATTAAAAAGTTAGGTTTTTATATTAATGAAACATTTCAAAACTTGAATGTTTCATCAATGAGAGATTCACTCAGTACCTTTGTGTTTGATCACCAGGTCAATGTTAATCTGTCATTGAAGTCTAGAATTGTTCCCTTTGTTTGTATAGGTCCTTATGATTTTGGAGGTGTACTTACTAATAGTAACCGGGATATTATAAATGGCGATGCCATCCACAAGCGAAATCAGTCCCACAAGGAAATGCACTGGTAAGTATCCAGGTATTGCTCCTATTTTTAAAATTACAGTTCACCTCTTAAAATAATAAGTGAAATGAGAACTTACTTCTAGTAATTAAAAAGGTTACCCCACCCTCTGCCCTTCAAATTGTGTGACCCTATGATTACTCCCCTGCCCATCCTCACTCTGCCACTTCTACCTTCCCCTTCTTGGATCCTCGTACATGTTTTACTAGTAACCTTTATCTCTACAATTACGGCCTTAAAGGAAATGGTAATGATCCAGTGTGAAAAACAATGTATACGAACTTTGTAAGTAATCCGGTAGAAAATAAAAATTTTATTTTAAAAAAAAGGTTACCCCATACAACTATTACCCAATTCTATTGAATTGTTCTTCACCCCTAGTAATCCTATAGAACAGGGTAGAATTGCATCATAGGCTAGGTTGTGATCTTTATGGAAGCAAAGGGCCCTGACTTTCTCCCACAGAACAGCTGGTGAATTTAAACTGCTTAACTTTCTCAGAGATGGTAAAGTTGGCTTAGAATAGTACAAGGTTAAGAGTTTTGTTCATAGCATCACAGTGAGTTGTAGTTGACTCATTGGCATGTAACCACAACAACAGCTTTCTCCAGCAACTGGGTGCTTAACCACGGCACTACTAGGACTCCTTCAAACTCCTGTCACATTCAGTTGAATTTGAGCAATATTTAGACCTCCCATAGGAAAGGGAACTCTGGTAGCCTAGAGCTAAGAGTTTACATTACCAATCCAAAGGCATGTACTTTGAATCCACCAGCTGCCCCATGAGAGAAATATGGACTGTCTTATCTGGTTTGATTTACTATCTCTGAAAACCCAGTGGAGAGTCAGCTGTAAGTCAGTTCCAACTCCATGGCATAAACAGCAACAAAAACACTATTGAAAATAAGACTTTGGCTGGCAAAACAACTATGAGATACCATATCACCCCAGTAAGAATAGCAATTTTCAACAAAATAGCAATTAATAAATGCTGATGAAGTTGTGGAGAAACTGGAACCCTTATTCACTGTTGGTGGGAGTGTAAAATGGTGCAACCACAATGGAAGGTTGTATGGCACTTTCTCAAAAAGTTGCAAATAGAAATACCATTTGACCCAGCAATTCTACTGCTGGGAATAAACCCCAAAGAAACCAGAACTGCCACCCAAGCAGATAATATGCACACCCATGTTTATTGCTGCTTTGTTCATAATAACAAAGAGTTGGAAACAACATAAGTACCACAAAACAAACAAATGGATAGAGACGCTGTGGTATGTTCACACAATGGAATACTATGCTTCACTGAAAAACAAGGAGCTCATGAAATATTATACAAAATGGGTGACCCTCGAGGACATTATGCTGAGTGAAATATCTCAGTCACAAAAAGAACAATACTGCATAGTCCCACTGTTGTAAAATGGGACTGATATCAGGGTTGCGGGGAGCCTAAGAAAATTATGTATACCGCATTGAAACAGATGAGGGAGAGAACTGTTCAAAAGAAATATATGATTAGGTATTATTTTCTTGACAAGTTTCCAGATAAAGAAATGCATAGTAATATGGACTGTGGACTTGGGGGTGGGGAGAATTGTATAACAATGAAAGAATTTTTTTTTTCTTTTCAAAGAGAAAAGCAAACTGGGGGAGAGTGGTGGACAGGGAGGAAAAAAATGAATGAATGGGGAAAAAGTTAAATGGAAAGAATATTATTTGTATATAAAAGAACTTTGGCTGGTACTGGCTTACTAAGCAAATACTTTACTGAATATCTGTTATGTGTCAAGCACTAGTCATTCTTGGTACATTGCACTATAGTTGATAATAAATATGTACATCAGTAAAGAATATATCAAGACATCATTCATGTTAGTATTAGTACCTTCGATCTTTTTTCCCCAAATAAAACTACTCATTTGGCTATTCCAGTAACTGATAATTATGTTATTTTTGCTTAATTAATGTTATTAATTTCAGTGATTAAAAAAAGGAGCTATGAGCAGAGAAATAATATTTCTGATAGATCACCAGTATAATGAAAAAGACTTCATTGTTATTATTATTATTTTTCCAGCCTACATCCTGGAGATCTCTATCCTTTTACAAGAAAGCCCCTGTTTATCATCGTGGATTCATCCAACAGTGTTGCCTACAAGGTACGTTCCGTGTTCTCTGGTGCACATGCATCAACCCGAGGGTACCCAGTCTTAACGTGTGCTTTTTGTTTTGCTTTTTTTATTTCATTTTACAGAGTTTGTATTCAGTCTTTCTTTTTTTTTTGAGGTTGTGCATGGTAGTCAGGATCTGGTGCTATGAATAGAAACAAGAAAACGCATGAATGGACACTCAGTGGAAAATAATAAATCTTCCTGCAGAAAAAAAAAAATTCAAGATTTCCAAGATCTCTGCTGGGAGGCTTATTTTTGTTATATAACCCAGGATAATTTTCTTTTCCAGAGCTGGAGGCATGTGGGTGAATTTTATCTTCGAATTTTCAAACTTCTTCCTTTTCTACACATTGAGCCCTGGTAGTTATATGAAATTTATATCCCATGTTATATGACTATAGTCTTTGAATATTAATTTGTGATTTTATATGCACTTAATTTTTAAAAATTATTTGTTATGATCCTGAAAGCTGAAATAAATTACAAGACCAGAACTTAATATTTTGTTTTATATTTTACTCTTTTCATGACGATGTCAAAGATTTTTTTGAGATCAGTAAGTACTTTAAAGTTGAATATTAGAAACAATGAATGAATGTAAATCCAAAGTCTCTGTAAACTTTCATTAACAATAATAAAAAAGAAAAAAGTTGAATATTAGAATTTAAACTATAGCTAGTTTACAGAAAAATGCAAGTACAATTTTTATAGTCCTCTATATTTGGTGGGAATATTTCACTAGTGAATATATTTTCGGAAATATGCTAGCATCTTTTGTAATAATTATTTTTGCATACTCATACTCACCAGAAAAGGCTTCACTAATTCCTCTATTAGCGCTATGCTTTCTTTTCCTAGATAATTGTTTATATGTGCACACATATATTTATATGTACATATATCTTTATGCCCTCAATGTGTCACACTTTAGAAGAGTTTTAATAAATAGGTGTTAAATCAGTAGATTTCTGAAAATATATTAAATGGCGAAATATTCCCATCTTATGTAGAGGATTATGAAAATTGTACTTGAATTTTTCTGTCAACTAGATGTAGTTTAAATACTAATATTCAACTTTAAAGTACTTTACAGACAGTGCTACATTCTACAAAAAAATTCATGTCAACAGCAAAATAGAAAAAAAAAAATGAGGGGAGCTCTGGTGGCTTAGGGGCAAGGAGCTGCAACTACAATCCCAGAGGCAAACGGTTCAAATCCACCAGATGCTCTGCCGGGGAAGGAGGGACAGTCTCCTCCTGTACCAGTCAGATCTGATTTGACGGTACATGCACACAAAAATAATAAAATTTAAAAAAAAAATGAAGTTAGATGCTTTTGTCCTATTTTAAGGATGAGGAAATGGGCTATATTGGTTAAGTAAATAACCCGTTTGATTTCAGCACAAGTATTTTCTCATTTCAAACTCCACACTCTGTCCACATTTACAAAAGAGGAGTTTTGGGTACCAGTATGAACCATATTATAGATAAAAAGAGCAATTGAAATACAAAGAAATGGGGGGGGGAGATGGTCCATATTTTGAGTTTTTCATATTTACATTTGGAAATTTGAAAAATTTCTCTCAAATACAAGAACTTTTCTAGACTCTGAAAGTATACAGAAATACAGTAGTAGTTAGTAATAATAGACGTGGGGAAAAAATTTAAAAATGCCTTTCAGTGTTTGGGAAAGTCTTTTAGATTTTTCGGTTGTTGTTTTTTTCCTTTAAAAGAAGATAATCTCTTTTAAAGTATTTAAGACTGAGGTAGATCCCTGCTAGTGGAAATGACTTAATAGATTTGTGACAATGAGCATGTATTTATCTAAACAGCCCATTTCAAAGTATCTGACTAATGTCTGCAGAATGCTGTATTCACCTTTTTTGGGAAACTCTTCGGCCAGATTTCTATTCCATTTCTTTCTTGGTGTTTTCAAAGATCTTAACTTTAAAAAAAGAGAGAGAGAGAGAGAGAGAGATCTTCACTTTCTCTCCTTCCTCTTTGAAAGACCTCTTTGTTTTTGTTTTCACTGCTGTACGGTTATACTGTGATATGACTATTTTATAATCTGTTTGAGATTTATTGGATAGCTTGACTTTCTAGTTTGGAGGCTTTAATTCTTCCTGGAATATTCTCAGCTTTTAAGACTTCCTATATCTACTGTATTTTATCTTTTTAAAACTTTGATTAAACATAAATTAGATATTCTTACTGTATCTAATACAGCTCTCTTTTAAAAAAATAAATTTTTTGTTTTATACTGGGTTACTTACAAAGTTCATGTACATTGATTTTTTCACACTCATCATTCCCATTTCCTTTACCCACTCCTGCCTCCACCCATCAAATTGCAAGCCTGTAACACACATACACACCATTGCTCATCCTCACCCCTCTGCCTCCCCCACCTGCCTTGGATCCTCATACACGTTTTACCTTTCTATTTCTACAATAATGGTTTTATACAGTATTTGTCCCTATGGGACTGAGTTCACTCTTCTACATCTCTAACCTCCCTTTTGTGTTTTCCATCTTTGTTTTTCTAAGATTTGGATACTTTCCCCTATTTAAGCTGCACAATATTTGCTGTTAAGTTCATCTGTTGAGTTTTATTTTACTTATGCTTTTTCTAAAATTTCAAAATACTCTTTTTGAAACATTCCTATTTTTTATCATTTTAACATAATAAGCATACTTATTTTATAATCTGTATTTGAGCACTCATTTATCAAAAAATGGGCATTTACGTTTTACTCCCTTTGCTGGGTTTTATTTTCGTTTGTTAAGGATTTTTCATCTTAATAAAATCTGCTTTTGCTTCTGCAATTAACTTTTTGTGACCACCTAGATGATATGAGAGATGGCAAGCATAAATACAGTCACTGCCGATCTGACATGTCCCTGTGTAGCCATATGTGGCTGTAGAGTGTGTCCAGTAAATGTGCACAGTAAAAGAGAAAAACCCCTGTCAGAGGAGGTGCCCCACTAATCTGGGAGTTGATTGCAAGCCAGATGTGGCCCACACTGTGAAAGAGATGAGCATAGGGGAGACAGAGGGAGAGATTAGACATTTTTAACTGTGTAAATACCATTGCCAGCACTGTCCTGAGTTCTACCATCATGTGACTAGCTGTTAAAGATGGCCATCCTGTACTGTTTATGGTCCTGTGTTCTGCTGCTTTCATTACTCACTATTTTAATTACATTTCTTACTCCAATCAATGTTATAAGTACTCCCTCAATATTGAAAAATTATCATCCATATCTATTATATTTCTTTACTGGTGTCTTCAGTGTAGCGATTCTTTTTTTTTTCTATAATTATATTTTATTAATTTTCATAAACATTTACAGAGATTTTGGGCCTCCATTCATTCATTGTTGCACTATTCTCTCTACCCT